TGGTGAGAGAGAGAGAGAGAGAGATAGCCATGCCAGGCGCGTTACCTGCAGGCGGTTCTTTTACGGCTTCCTCGACCTGATAGCGGTCGCTTCTGCTATTGTTAGCAGGCGCTGCTCACGTGTTTGAATTTCCTCATTATTAGGTCCGCCGTGTAGTATGGGGCGGTTAGTCAGCCGATGGATATCGAACGATGTCTGTCGGACACGCAATGCTTTTTAGGAAACTATATCGTTGCATCGTTCAAGATACGACTGGCCACCGCGAAAATTGTTTTAACAAATTTTTTGGTTGAGGAAATCGCAGTGGTAGAACTTGTCTGGAGGCCCTGTATCGGAGGATCTGTGTTGTACTAGGCAAGCATAAGTATAGACTTAATTTTTACCTCTTGTCCTGTTGCATTCACGAATTCCGAGGGTAGAGACCGGTAGGTCTCTGAGCGTCCTTGAAGTGGTGTCATTTAACGCCGCAGTTTTTATGTGATGGTGTTGCGTGCCAACATCTGTATGCCTCGGGTGCCTAGACTGAACTACAAAAAGGGCGTAAAAGCACTTGCCAATTTATTTTTACCATGACAGTGGTGCTTCTTGCTCTTGGCAGTTCACTCTCTGTTTCGCCTGACACTAAATCTCAGCTTTCCTCGAAAAAAAGGCCCTATGGGTGCCGATTTTGTTCGTTTTTTGACACATTTGGCAATATATGAGCAAAATGTCTCTAGGCTTGTATTTCGCCAGGGTGTTAATGACGTTGTTTGCATACCAGAAGAAAAACGTTGGCCTGTTTATAAGGAAAATATTGTTTTCGTCTGTGTTTGGTCTTGCGGCGCAATCTATTATTTTGCAGCTTACCTTAAGGGGGAAAGGAATCATTCAAGTACCATCTAGCAAACGTACCTTTACGTCATTTTGAAAGGATATCCATCACACCATCCCTAAACTCCTTCCAAAATGTTCTTTTACGGTCAACAGTTACTAGTGTAATTAAGCAGAAAGGCGCCTTTTAAAGTGCGCGAAGGCGTTTTTTATAAACGTACTTTAAGACACACACAGAGAGGGGCACTGAAATGACTTTTTCAACCCTCAGCCATCAGTGATACCCGAAATGGAAACAGTCTGCTGGATATTCTAATTAGAATCAGTTGCTCGTCGAACAACGCCCTTACCACCACGCCACGGCTTTACGTCATTTCGACGACGAAGATCAAGCATGCGCAGATTCATGTGTGCCACGCGCACAACGACCTACTTTGAAACGACTTATCGTCAAGCGGTCGCATTTGTGTGCTCTCAACCCGTGCCTACTCCTAACACTTGCTCTCTTTAAGTGTTTCTTCCGGTAC